AGGTGGAAATGCCACTACTATGCAGGGGGTTACAGAGAGTGAAAAGAGAAAATACTGGGTATTGGGGGACTAAGGAAAGGATAAAAAGATTGATGAAGATTGTAGTCACCAGAGATGCAAGTAAGAGGAAGGGAGTTTCACTGTCAGGAAGTGTGAGAGGAGAAGCTTTTGGAGTAGAAATGTGGTTACATTTAACTCTGTGTCAAGCCAGAAGGTTTTTCTCATCTGTGTCCATCCTACATATCTACAAATCACTATTCATCCATGCACTGAATATTGTTGCTATATATGGTTCAGTGCCCCTGCTGTTCATCTTGAGGTGCTCGACAAAATCAAAAGGAGGATTTGCAATGTAGTTGGTCCTGACTTGGCATCTTGACTCCAGTCACTTTCTCACAGACATGATGTGGCTTCCCTCTGTCTTTTCTACAAATATTTTTATGGCCACTGCTCTGATGAGCTATTTTCTCTGGTGCCCTGACTGCATGAATTTAAGCATACTACCAGGTTGGCATCTAGGTCACCCTTTTACTGTTGAAAAAGTTAAATGTAACCACACTTCTACTCCAAAAGCTTCTCCTCTCGCACTTCATCACAGTGGATCTCCCTTTCTCTTACTTGCTTCCCTGATGACTACAATCTTCAAAAATTTAAATGCAACATCAATCATCATCTTCTGATGCCTTGATTCCTGTTCTTTTTAACTTTCCTTGCAGTAGATGCAGCTATTGATTCAATGTAGTTGTTCCACCTCAAGTCAGTGAAAAACATGGTTCCAAGAAAGCACAGTGAGGCGCTCTTGTGAAGTTGAGCATCAACAATGCTGACAGGAGTAAATGGTAGTTCCATCTGCATAGATGTCTACTTGAGAGCATGTGATATCAGGAAGATCATTGATATATATGGCAGTGAATGTTCGACAATCTCCTTACAGATGAAGAGAGTTGATGCAACTGAAATGTAGTCCTACAGAAGGATGCTGAGAATACTATGGACTAAACATTGGAGCATTGACAAAGTTTTAGAAAAAATGGAAACAAAAAGACACTTAACATAAGAGAGAGTTGAAATTTCTCGGGTACATAATGAGAAAAGAGGGTTTGGAAAAGTTGACGTTCATTGAAGGTAAGAGAGAGAGGAAAACAGTAAATAACCTGCCTAATGAGTTTGTATAAATGAATGGCAGAAAAAGGGCTTACGAGAGAGAGAAAAAAAGATAAAATTTACTAAGCATTATAATAACAAACAAGGATGTCAACCTGAACACATGCACCCATGAAATGTAACATTTAAAGTAAAAAGAAATAATAATAATAATGTCAAATTAAAAACAACCATTACTTGTGTAAAAATAAAAGGACTATTGTTTGTTGAATTCAGTTCAAGAGAAATTTTTGTTTCTTTTTAGAGAGTGAGAGAGAGTGAGAGAATGTGAGACAAAGAATGCACACAAGGGAGGAGAGAGAGAGAGAGAGAGAGAAAGGAGAGAGAGAGAGAGAGAGAGAAGTGAGAGAGAGAGAGAGAGAGAGAGAGAGAGAGAGAGAGAGAGAGTGAAGTGAGAGAGAGAGAGAGAGAAGTGTGAGATCAGAGAGAGAGAGAGAGAGAAGCAAAAGAGGAGAGAGAGAAGTGAAGGAGTGAGAGAGAGAGAGAGAAAGGAGAGAGAGAGAGTGCTTGGAGAGAGAGAGAGAGAGAGAAAAAAAGGAGTGAGGAGAGAGAGCAAATTTTGGTGAGTGAGAGAGAGAAGTAAAAGGAGAGGAGGAAAGAGAGAGAAAGAGAGAAGAAAAGGAGTGAGTGAAAAGAGAGAGAGAGAGAGAACAAAAGAGGAGTGAAAGAGAGAGAGAGAGAGAGAGAATGAAAAGAGTGAGTGAAAGAGAGAGAGAGAGAGAAGTGGTTGGAAAGGAGTGAAAAGAGAGAGAGAGAGAGAAAGAAAGGAGTGAAAGAGAGAGAGAGAGAAGAGAAGTGAGGAGGAAAGAGAGAGAGAGAGTAAAAGAGGAGTGAGAGAGAGAGAAGTGTGCGAGTGAGTGAAAGAGAGAGAGAGAGACAAGTGAGGAGAGAGGAAACAGAGAGAGAGAGAGAAGAGAAAGAGTGAGTGAAAGAGAGAGAGAGAGAGAGAGTTAAAAGGAGTGAAGAGAGAGAGAGAGAGAAGGAAAGGAGGAGTGAAAAGAGAGAGAGAGAGAGAAGAGAAAGAGAGAGAGAGAGAGAAGAGAGTGAGTGAAAGAGAGAGAGAGAGAGAGAAAGAGAGTGAGGAAAGAGAGAGAGAGAGAGAAGTAAAGAGTGAGGAAAGAGAGAGAGAGAGAGAGAAAAAGGAGGAGGAAAGAGAGAGAGAGAGAGAATGAAAGGAGTGAGTGAAAGAGAGAGAGAGAGAGAGAAAAAGGAGTGAGTGAAAAGAGAGAGAGAGAGAGAAGTAAAAGGAGTGAGGAAAAGAGAGAGAGAGAGAGAAAAGGAGTGAGAGGAAAAGAGAGAGAGAGAGAAAAAAAAGAGTGAGTGAAAGAGAGAGAGAGAGAGAAGTAAAAGGAGTGACAGAGAGAGAGAGAGAGAGAGAGAGAGTGAGTGAAAAGAGAGAGAGAAAGAGAGAAAGAGAGAGAGAGAGGTGTGGAAGGAGTGAAAGAGAGAGAGAGAGAGAAGTGCGAGTGAGGAAAGAGAGAGAGAGAAAGTGAGAGAGTGAAAGAGAGAGAGAGAGAGAGAAGTGTGCGAGTGAGTGAAAGAGAGAGAGAGAGAGAAGTGTGCGAGAGGAAAGGAGAGAGAGAGAGAGAAATGAAAAAGGAGTGAGGAAAGAGAGAGAGAGAGAAGAAAGAGTGAGTGAGGAAAGAGAGAGAGAGAGAGAGAACAGGAGTGAAAGGAGAGGAGAGAGAGAGAGAGAGAGGAGAGAGAGAGAGAAGAGAAAAGTGAGTGAAAGAGAGAGAGAAAAGGAAAGAGAGAGAGAGAGAGAGAGAGGAGTGAGTGAAAGAGAGAGAGAGAGAGAGAGAGAAGGAGGAGTGAAAGAGAGAGAGAGAGAAGTAAAAAAAGGAGTGAAAGAAAGAGAGAGAGAGAGAAGAAGAGTGAGGAAAGAGAGAGAGAGAGAGAAGTGCGAGGAGTGAAAAGAGAGAGAGAGAGAAGAGAAAAGGAGTGAGTGAAAGAGAGAGAGAGAGAGAGAAGTGAGGAAAGAGAGAGAGAGAGAAAGAGAGAGAGAGAGAGAAACAAAAGTGAGTGAAAGAGAGAGAGAGAGAGAAAAAAAGGAGGAGAGAGAGAGAGAGAAGTTTTTGAGGGAGTGAAAAGAGAGAGAGAGAGAGAGAGGAAAGAGAGAGAGAGAAGAGAGAGAGAGAGAAAGAGAGAGAGAAGAAGTGAGGAAAGAGAGAGAGAGAGAGAGAAGAAAAAGTAGAGTGAAAGAGAGAGAGAGATATGAAAGGAGTGAAAGAGAGAGAGAGAAGAGGAAAGAGAAAGAGAGAGAGAGAGAAAGAGTGAGGAGAGAAAAGAGAGAGAGAGAGAGAAAGAGGAGGAGAGAAAGAGAGAGAGAGAGAGAGAAGAGAGAGAGGAGGAAAAGAGAGAGAGAGAGAAGAAAGGAGGAGGAAAGAGAGAGAGAGAGAGAGAGCAAAGGGAGTGAAAGAGAGAGAGAGAGAGAGAGTGAGTGAGTGTAAAAGAGAGAGAGAGAGTGAGTGAGTGTAAAAGAGAGAGAGAGAGAGTGAGTGAGTGTAAAAGAGAGAGAGAGAGAGAGAAGAGTGAGTGAGTGAGAGAGAGAGAGAGAAGTGTGCAAGTGAGTGAAAGAGAGAGAGAGAGAGAGAGAAGTGAAAGAGAGAGAGAGAGAAGTGTGCGAGTGAGTGAAAGAGAGAGAGAGAAGTGTGCGAGTGAGTGAAAGAGAGAGAGAGAAAGTGTGTGAGTGAGAGAGTGAGAGAAAAACTGTGCAAGTGAAAGATTAAATTAATAAATTTTCTTTTAAATTAATGAAAATGAGATGTGTATGGTGAAAGAAAAAAAGTTTGCACACTTTGCACAAGAATGCATTTTTTATGTTTCTGCTTCAGTCGTTGATTACTGAGTTCCTTGTCAGTACTAATCTAATCTTACTACATTCACCTGAATTTGACTGACACCGAAACCTATCACTGTTGATGAGGGTGAGTAACTGCTTCATGTGAACCAGTTCACCTTTTGTGCTTTCTAGAGAAAAGCTAGCAAGCAAGAAAAGAACTGGCTATTTAAAATAGCCAGCAACAAATTTTAAATACTATGAGCAATTTCAAAATGTTAGTAAAACAACTTTTGTAAAAGATAAATCTGTTTACAGATTTTATTTTTTAATAGACTAGCAAGGTTACCATGCATTGTATGGATTCAAAAATGTAACCTTATTGTTTTGTCTATAGAAATTTCAATGAAGCTTTAGAATATGGAGTAAAAAATATTAAGCAATGATCTGTTTTTTTGAACAGTGCACCAGAAAAAAAAAAAAAAAAAAAAAATGGAATATTTTTTAACTTCATGAACAAAGGATCAAAGTATAGTATCTGTTTTATTTTTATGAATGAAATTGAGAAAAATTATCATAGTTTCAAATAATATTTCTAAATATGTCTGCAAGACTAAATTTTAAAAAAATAACAGTAGTTTTACAGATTTTATCCTCACAGATAGAAATACAAAAGAAAAAGGCATTCTATGAGAGATGGGGCTCTAAATTCAATATAAACCATTTGAAATTTAATTCTAGAATCAGAATCTCTTTGATTAGTAAAGATTTGATAATTGTAATTAACCTGAAATAATAAAAATCAGAATAGGAATCAAAGAAAATGTGGCAAACTTGGACCTACATGTCCACAAATAAATGAAGTGTCAAAAGAATTATTTTTGGAGATAATAATTGTTTAATGATACAAGTTTTACTAATTAACCCATAGCTGGAGGAGAAGAGGTGGATTTATACCTTTTGCAAGGGTAGTTTGTACAATGATGAATATAACAAACCCAACTCAGCTCATTAATAATTTGAATCTATTATTCATTACACTACCCACACATCCAAGCTTACAACACCTGGTATTCCCAAGTGGTTACCCATCTAGGTACTAACCAGGCTTGACATTGCTTAACTTTGGTGATCATCTGGTGTATGTATGTATATAACTTATAGAAATCCATAACAAATATGATGAAAGTGTCTGGTGACAAGCACACTTCTCAGCTAATATATCATGAGGCAATGCTTTCATTTTTATATTTTTAAAACAAACACATACATATCAATGTAAACATTGCCATCCATACAAAGGAATATACCAGTAAGCATCTATGTTTACTGCAATCTCCAATTTCTGATTCAAAGGTGATATTTCTTACGCCACCTGCACATCCTGACTGGAATTAAAACTCAGCCCGATTCAAATTCTAGTCAAGTTCATTGCATTCACTTATGTGCATTTTTTTTTGTTTTTTTTTAAATCCGAATCAGCCCAAGCAAGGCAGTAATGCCACTAAAACACAAGGATTTACAGGGTGTGGAAGAATTGGGAACAGAAACATTAATGATAAACAGAAATAGAAGAGGGTAATCAGGTTGATAGTAGATAGGGATTGACATTGCATATAAATTTTTGCCGATTAAAATTGGCTGGAAAATATGGAGTCAGAAAGGAGTTCCACAAGCCAGAAGTGTGAGAAAAGAAACTCTTAGCATAGAATTTGTGGTTACATCTAACCAGCTCAACCGGAAATTCATGATGTCTTGGCACCAGTCTAGAATTGCGCTTAAATTCCGAAAATCTAGATATAGTGAAGAGCTCATCCGAAGAATTGCTATGAAAGTATTTATAGAAAAGACATTATAATACAAAATAATTAATACAAAATACCCTTATGAATGGTATAAATCCATCTTTTCTCCACTTCCTTCTATGGATTAAATAGCAGGACAGATAGATATCAAATCATGGTTGATAAACCAATCTAGAATGATAACTCTGAATTCAAAACCAGTTGGTCATGGAGCTAGCAACTTTATCTCATTAAAAACTAACTACTTATTATTCAAACTACAAAAGTGTTCTGAGAGCTGTAGGCCCATACTCCTCAGAGAGACTACAGGACTTGAGTGAGTAAAGGTATCTATATCTACAAAGAAGTTGATAAATAATATCCTCTTCCTTAGCAAAATTAGATTTCTCTGTGCTGAATAGTGTCACATTCTCACTGTTTTAGATTGATTCAGTCATTTTTTATGGCTTATCAACCCATTGCAAGTTATTCAAAAGCAGAAAATATTTTTAAATTGTAAGAATTTTTTTTTATAAAATAATTGTTTAGTGATACAAGTTTTACTAATTAACTTATAACTGTGGGGAGAAAAGGGGGATTCATGCCTTTTGCAAGAATATGTTGTGCCTAAGTAAATATAACCAACCCAATGGGAACTGGAATTCGGCTCTCTGATTAAAAATTTGGAGCCAGTATCCATTACACCATCCACACATCCAAGCTTACAGCACTTGCTATTCCCAAGCAGTTATCCATGTAGGTACTGACCAAGCTCAATGTTGCTTAACTTTGGCAATTGTATGAGAACCATTTTTCATTGTGATATGGCCCTAAACCTCTAAAAAAATTGGATGACATGCTCTAATGTGTTAAATAATTACAGCATCCTGTGAAACTTACTAATTATTAAATCCATATGAATATAATGAACCCAACAGGAATTAGAGCTCTCCGATTAACATTCAGAGTCATTATCCATTACACTACCCACACATCCAAGCTTACGGCACCTGGTATTCCTAAGTAGTCACCCATCTAGGTATTGACCATGCTCAATGTTGCTTAACTTTAGTGATCATATCGGAACCGATGTTTCAACTTGATGTTGTTGTAAACCAGTCTCATTGTATTAAATGTTATTACTTTAGTTCCTATAGCAAGTAAGTCTTTATGTGATAAAGCTACTAACCATAAGCCCATTTCAATTCAGATGTGTCCTTTGCTGCAACTGGTTACCAACCAAGGCTAGAGAGTCCAGTCTGCTCTGCTGTTTAACCCATAGCTGTGAGAAGAAGAGATTGGTTCATATCTTTACCTAAGTTATTTGAATGAATGTGAGCACAATGAATGCTTTACAGAGATTGAACTTGGCACACCAATTCCAATTTTCATGCCAATAACTGTTACACAGCAAATAAATAATGATAAACTTATGAAATATTAAATAAATATGGCTGTATTGAAATGATATATCTCATTAATTTATTGATAGAGAAAAAGCAAGAGTAGCTAAATTGAGAAATAATTTCTGCATCTGCGGACAAATTAATAGAAATAATGTTTACAGTGAATTTCGAGGAAACATCGATATGTTCACTTTTACACATTTCATTATCAAACTAATTTACTTCAATAAAACACTTTTTAAGAAACACATTTCCTCAACTTTCTTAATACCTCTTTTGTAAACAACTAAACATTCCTTACGGCAACAGAGCAACGATGGGGGCCCAAGAATGAAATCACTTCATGAATTTAGAAGTCATAGCAAATATGTTAAAGCGTTTATAAAAAGATTGGTCTTTTGTTCACAACTTCGAAAAGAATTAACCTAGGTTTTGAAAATCTATTGCTGAAATTAATGGTGGTTCTATTTTACAACAAGGAAATGTGCCTGGTTTCCACGGAGCCATAATTACATTTAGCTGTCATGAGGAATTAGATGTTAGACATTTAGAAAGTCTGGCTGTTATTGACACGCAAACGTGCAGATGGTAGTATACGAGGCTTGAGGGATATCACATGGCTAATTTTATCATTAAGTAGATTTATAACAAAAACAATGAATGTGTATATATATATATATATATATATATATATATATATATATATATATATATATATATGGGTGAAGATGGCTCAGAATGTTTGTAGATATAGATATTGTATGAACAGAAACCAACATTTTGTGGTTCTGTCAATCATATATGCCTCACTTGAGCCATGCCAGTCACAATGAAGTGTTAATTTTTATATATACACTGACTATCTCTTTTTAATATACTGGGTATATGGGTAAATTGTCGCCATTTTATATTTTTAATTTTGCACATGCATGCATGGTATTCGTTTTTGATTTTGAGTGCACAGAATAGTAGGGTCAGTTGGGCACTGTCTATAAGAAAAAGAGCACTCTGGTGCAATTCACTCCATCAGAAATGGCATGCTGTACAGCTTGGAATTCACACCAGATGCTCCAATATGAACATTTTAGAGTGTTTGTGTGTCAGTCTGAGGAAAGTGCAGAGGGATGAATCTAATGGAGATGATGAAGTTGTTTGGAGTAATCACTAGTGACGGCAAAGTTATACCTCCATTTGTCTTCCTTCAGGGCCTCAGACTCAACACGGAGGCCTACATCAAGTGCTTTGAGGAGGTAATGCTACCATGGGTCAAGTGGGTGGCTTCTGGAAGACCCTATATCTGGCAACAGGACTCAGTACCATGCCACACAAACAGAAGAACCCAGCCAGACAATTTTTGTGGCCACATCACCCCTTACATCTGGACACCTAACTCCCCAGACTGCAATCCCCTTATGTATGAGTTGCAATTGCACGAGAGACCAACAAAACTCCTTGTAATACCAAAGATGAACTTCAGGCAAGGATTATGGCAACATTCACCAACTTAAACAAGGAGACTGTCCAAAAGAGTTGCAGGTGATTCTAAAGTTGTCTAGAGGTTATGATTGAAGCCAATGGTGATTTTAATGAATAAATATACTCTTTAGTATTTCAAGATAGTTTTTTTTTTTTTTTGTCATTGTAGTAAATATATCTGTTAAAATGTGATGTCAGTGTTATTTTCATTTTTGTGTAAATTAGACGACAATTTATCCATCAAAACCTATATATGTAAATAACTAAAACATGCTATATTTATAAGTGAAGAGTGCTCAATAAAATAGATTCTGTTTTTATAGATAGACAGGGCAGACATAGAAATCAACACTTCATAGAGACAGTTTCTGGCTTCAATATGATCATCAGAACAGTAGCTTATATATATAATTATAAACTGTTACAATGCAATATGCAAAGTACCGCAACAAAAATGCATATTTGTTTTGACGTGCAAAAAATGTCTCATCAGGTGGTTAACAATGGTGGTAATAAATGATTTTATTTGAAAATATGATTTATGAAACATCACTTCTTTTTAACATTTTTGAAATTTCCTTAAAAGGCAAAGAAACCAATATATTAAAAAATATTAAATATTGTTTTTTTTTTTTTTAATATATTTATTTCTTTACCTATAACTTTCTATAACTTATGAAGATCTGATTTAATTTTCAGTCTTTTGAGATTATACATACCAGTTTTTCTCTCATATATATTGAACTCTCCTGTTGTATTTGACGTATGAGGGTCAAGTAGTTCAGTTCCTTGGAACCGACAGCCAGACACCATTACATATGATTTGATTATAGTGCTGAAGGTTTTGTGCAAAACCATCCACACTTTTTGAAGGGCTGAATACAAAGACCTGGTGCACTACTTGCCACAAGGTCCCCAAACAAACCTCTTCAGGTTTTGAATTCAGAGTTTTCCTTCTCTTAGACCAGTTGCTATCCAAAGTTATAGAATCCAAACTGTCCTGCTATTTACCCATAGATAGAGGGAAAAGAGAAGATAATAGCTTTCCCAAGGGTATTAGCATGTAAGTGAATGTAATGGATTTGAGTGGAAATCAAACTCAGTTCTCCAATTTGTCAATCCGCGTCACTATCCACCACGCCCATATATATATATATATATATATATATATATATATATATATATATAGGCATTGTGTCACTCATATATATATATATAATATTTTTATTATAAGAGATTATAATAAAAACATTTTTCATTGCTACACAAAAGCTTTCATATTTCAATACTATGATATTACTTTTTCAGTCGATGGTTGATAACTTGTGATAAAAATGATTTATTAGGGAAACAAATTGTTATCTCTTTTCGGAAGTTAAATGTGGGAGTGCATAAGGTCATATGAAAATATACTTGTTGGTATATCTTGATTAACTAATTAAAAGTCAGATCTATGCTAAAATAGAAAAATAAAGTCAGAGGGTGGAGGTGAGCAAGTTATTTTTTTCATGTTACGATAAACTATATATATATATGTAAGAAAAATCTACACATATATGTTATTTCCACCTTTTGTTTTCTTTCATCTGTCAAGGCCAACAATGTATATAGTAGGCATTTTGCTGACAGTTTTTAGGCAGCAATGTTTTATAATGAGGATTGATGATGTAATCACTCACCCACATATTTCTTTGTGATGTGTCATTGGTAAGGAAAAAAAAAAAGAGGCCACGCTCTGGTTAAAAGTAAACGGTGATCATACTTTGAAACTGAGAGAAAATGCTTGTATTGAAGTCACAGCAGCAGTGTCAACTGATATTTAATCACAAATTGTCACTTTACACTTCCATATTGAGCCTATATTTAAAATGAAATTATCTACACATATATGCAAAGATATCTCCACTTTTCAAAGGAATTTTTATGTAGCTTTGTGCAAGTCTTAGAGAGGGACTAGAATACTTGCCAGATTTTTTTTTTTTAAATGTGTTCTTGGTCCATGTCAATAAATAACCATATACATATTATATATTGAGTAATGGCTGGTTTCTCAATTTTCAGTACACATATCTACTAAGGTGATTAGTCAATAACTTGCAAACCCCTGCTCAGGGACATTTGTGCTTATTCAACACTTACAATAGTAAACATCTTTAGTAATGGTATAGTAGGATCAGCTGCGCATCATCTGTGAGAAAGAGAGTACCATGATGCAATTCACTCCGCCAGAAATATAAAAATGGCATGCTGTACTGCTTGGCATTCATGCCAGAAGCTCCAATATGAACATTTCAGATCGTCTGGGTGTCAATTTGAGGATAGTACAGAGGATTTGGAAAGAGTTCGATGATATATCCACTCAACATCATGGTGTTTGGAGTGACCACTAGTGACGGCTACATTATGCTTCTGTTTATCTTCCTATAGAGACTGAGACTCAACATAGTGGCCTACATCAAGTGCGTTGGGAAGGTAGTGCTGCCCTTGGTAAAGATGGTGGCTTCTGGAAAAGGCTATATTTGGCAACAAGAGTCTGCACTATGCAACACAAGCAGGAGAACCCAGTTATGGCTGTCAGACAATTTCTACAACCACATCACCCCTTACATCTGACCACCTAACACCCCAGACTGTAACTCCCTTGATTATTGCGTGTGAGTTGCAATTGTGCAAAAGACCAACAAAACTCCTTATAATGCCAAAGATGAAATGAAGACAAGGATTATGGCAGAATTCACCAACTTAAACAAAGTGATTATCCAGAAGAGTTGCAAGTGATTCTGAAGTCATCTGGAGGCTGTGGCTGAAGCCAATGGCAATTTTATTGAATAAATATACTCTTTAGTATTTCAAGATATTTTTGTGTCATTGTTCTAAATATATCTGTTAAAATGAGATGTCAGTGTTATTTTCATTTCTGTGTAATTTAAATGACAATTTATCCATCAAATCATATATATATATATATATATATATATATATATATATATATATATATATATATATATATAGCTACTATTAGAGGTAAAATATACACATTCATAAGTATATATATACATAGGTGCATACACATACATATTTTTTTTGAATAAAAATTCCAAGAGGATAGAATCCAGGTAGAACTCAATGTCCAGAACAGAGTAAGGATATAATAAAAAGGCTTAAATGCTAATATTCCATTGGAATCGTAAATACGATCCAATTCATCATGTAAGT